TAATATTGCTTAAAATATGAAATTCAACACATAGCTTAAAATTTTGGGAGAATGAATTTGGAAACATGTCTCATGAACAATGTCCCACAATTTATTGTCTCCCTCACTTTGAAGTGGATCCAAGGGCATTAATAAAGCCAAAATTTGGTTTAAGGGTCTATAGAGTTTGCGCCTCAAAATACCAAATTGATAACCATAGATCATATCCAATGACAGTTTAGGATTGAATTTTGAAACTGGTGGTGGCTGATGTAGCAAAGCATAAGGAAACTAGGGCAATGATATTTACAATCAATCAAACCTAGGCATAAGCCCTAGGATTATTCTAAAGTGAACTTAAGGGATCACCTTAAGGATGAGTTGTTAGCCACCTTTAGAATAAATTCATTATCAGGCTCAAATTATTGGTGTGTTAGAGCCTGAATCAGGTGATCATCATAGGTCCAATATCATTGGATTTGGTGTACCATAGTGGTCCACTATTAGGAAGCCAAAAAAGAATTTCTACCTTTAGAATGACCCTAAAGTTAATTAATCAAATAAAAATTCTGTTTAATTATTAAAAATTATAATAACAACATCTAATCACCCTAATTCAACCCTATCAGTGAAAATTTAAATCCCCACAAACAACTCCTATTTATAGGCACAAAAGAAGGAATACAAACAGCCACCTAAAAGCAATATTTAAAGCCATTAAAATAGGGAAATAGAAGGCCATAAGTCACTAAGAAGAAGACCAAAAGACTACAGGAATTATGTAGGAAGATTGCATAGAAAACAGTGGAAAGGCTCATGGAAATCCTCCCAAACAGCCACCAAACCAGTCCCCAAAAAACTGTCCAAAAATAGTCCCCAAATACTTCATTAAATGAGGGAAATGAAAGGTCAACATCCACCATACAACAGTCCTTAATTTGCATAGGAAATAGAGCACCAAAAGCCACAGGAAAGCCCCCCATTAGTCACGGAAAACAGCCCAGCCTGGGAACCGAAGAGCCCCCCGCAGATGCCAAGGAGCCAGCCGTGGAAACCAAGGAGTCAAGGCACGAAAATCCAAGAGCCAACCACGGGAAATGAATAGACAAAAAGGTGGGAAGGAGAATAGACAAGATCAAAGAAATAATGAGCTAATTTTTAGCTCCATAAATGAACTAAAAACCAGCTCATAATGAGCTAACCTTTCACTTGACATTAATGAGCTGGAGAAGTCAAAAATCAATTTTTTTGGGTTTGATTTGACCCCCGCTGTCTACATCAGACTCCCCTTCTTGAGAACTCATCTCCCGGTGAGTTAGCTTTGTTTTTTGAAGGCGTTGCATCAAGAGACACCAAGACTCATACAACAACTACTATGACTCACCAAAACACAAAACTTACTAAACGGACTCATAAGACTCTCAAGACTCACAAGACTCACAAGACTTACAAGACTCACAAGACTCTCAAGACTCACAAGACTTATAAGACTCACACAATAAGACTTGACTTGACAGACTGACTCACAAAACAAAACTCACAAGAATCACAACTGTTATGATTCACTAAGATTTTTCTTGACAAACAAAACTTGACAAACTCACAAACCTAGGATTTTCTAACTTGCTCTGATACCAAATGATGCAATCAAAAATTTGGGAAGAGGCCCAAATTTTTTATCACAAAAAGTAAATACTTCCTAACTAAAAGAAAGACACAAGAACACCCAAAATGAACTAAAAGAAGACAACTTAAACAAAACACAATTTTAATATTATAAAATGAAAGACTTACAAACTTGACTCAACCAAGACACTATAAACTTGCTTACTTTGAGAAGAAGGATACAGGTGGGGTGTAAACTTGCAGAGAGACGAAAGAGGTTAGAAGCCAAGACGAAGGGCGGAAAGAGCTTGCAAGATTTCCTGGGGAGATGAGAAGGAGAATGGAATAAACTCGCAAGCTTTTCCAATAAAACCCGCAGGTTTACATTTCCAAAAATCAATCACATAACATATCTAAAACAACCACAAACAACTCCTATTTATAGGCACAAAAGAAGGAATACAAACAGCCACCTAAAAGCAATATTTAAAGCCATTAAAATAGGGAAATAGAAGGTCATAAGTCACTAAGAAGAAGACCAAAAGACTACAGGAATTCTGTAGGAAGATTGCATAGAAAACAGTGGAAAGGCTCATGAAAATCCTCCCAAACAGCCACCAAACCAGTCCCCAAAAAGCTGTCCAAATTCTGTCAAAAAACAGCCCCAAAAACTCTTCAAATACTTCATTAAATGAGGGAAATGAAAGGCCAACAGCCACCATACAACAGTACTTAATTTGCACAATAAATAGAGCACCAAAAGCCACAAGAAAGCCCCCCATTAGTCACGGAAAACAGCCCAGCCTGGGAACCGAAGAGCCACCCGCAGATAACAAGGAGCCAGCCGTGGAAACCAAGGAGTCGAGGCACGAAAATCCAAGAGCCAACCATGGGAAACGAATGGTCAAAAAGGGGGGAAGGAGAATAGACAAGATCAAAGAAATAATGAGTTAATTTTTAGCTCCATAAATGAACTAAAAACCAGCTCATAATGAGCTAACCTTCCACTTGACATTAATGAGCTGGAGAAGTCAAAAATCAAAATTTTTTGGGTTTGATTTGACCCCCCCCCCATTGTCTACATCACCTTCCCTTCCAAACATAGGCCCGCTACTGTCAGTTTCTCCTCCTCCGTCAACCCATTGACGGCGAAATATCTTAATACCTTGTAGATCCACCCGTTCGCATCATCCTCCCCCTCAAAGATTGGCATCTTCAGTTTCCTCACCCTCGAATTGCCTTTGTTCCCTATATTCCCTCCATAATTTCCCATTCCCCAAGGGGGTGGTTCCCCCCCCAAGTGTCCCAATTATCCCTTCTACGCTCATACCCAAACCTTTCATCAAATTCCCACAATCTCCTTTCAAATTAAGCACCCCTTAGATCATAATAAATCCCTCTCCTTTCAATTCCAACCCCTTTTCGGTCATAATTACCTCTTTCCCTTTCAAATTCCACCCCTCTCCTCTACAATTCAACACCCCTTTGTTCATGCTCCACCTCCTCACGCTTCTCCCCATACTCCTTACCCGACTCACCTATAGGAACAGGCTCCAGGGATGGCATTCTCTCTTTTCCCTTTTGAGTCTCCATCTCCTAATCTTCCCTTTGCCTTACTGGATTTGAGTTTTCCCCGCTTCCTGAGTTTTCGGAGGCTTCCCTCGTCTCGGACGAAGCCGTTTTGGATTGGCCCTCGAGCAAATCAACATCTCTCCCTCATGCTAAAAAAATTCCCATCCATCTTCTCGTAGATGGTTGAAACTTGACTTTTGACATAAGAAAGTTGAGAGTGGAGATATGAAATTTCAATTTTCAATTGTCTGATCTCCCCTTCCAATACTTATACCTTTCTTCCTGCCCTAGAAACTTTGATTTAGGCTCCAATAGCAAGATCCACAAGTTTGACATGAATTTTGGCCTCCAATCAACATAAAAACAACACGATCGAATACAGAACACAGCAAAATTCAGCGATGATGACTTCTATTTCAGCCTAAGAAATTGCTCTGATACCAATTTGTTAGGAAACACTTGAAGATTTCAAGTAAATCCTATCAATTTCAGACAAAACAACAAAAAAACTCTTTCAAACACCAATGAAATCCTGAAAAACAATAATTTTTATTGTAATAATCATAGATGCGGAAGGAAAATACCGAGATACAGTCGATCCACAAATTGAGAGGAGGATTTATCTCTCCCAAATCTCTAGACACCGCTATAGAAAAAAGAAAACTAAGAGGTCTCAAATTCAGCCAAATTCAAGATGCCCTAACCTTAGGAAAACAAACTATTTAATGCATACAATCCAAAACGAAATCTCTAAAGAATCCCTACATTCAAATTTCCCTCCTTACTCCTTCAAAAAACCTTCCTAAACTGCTCGGTGGCTCATGCGGTTTGATCGGCATACAGGAGAGGCGGAACTGCGGAAGAGTCCGCCTCTGTTATGCTTGAGCCGGTCCCAACAGGACCGGCCTAACATAAGCATTCAAATTCTTACAACATCATTGATATGATTATGACTTTATAAATAATACTTCATAAGACTCTCCTATCATGCAAAACACTCAAGGCACTCCATTTTTCACTATTTAGCTTTAAATGTAGAAGTTATATCATCATGTATATCACCATTATTCTACAAAATGTATCAAATACACTAAACCCTGCACATAAATATCTTCCACAAGTTTCTAAGGTGACCAAAGGCAAGAAAATATAGTATTAATTGCCATTTTAAAAATATATTTACAATTAATTTTTTATGCCCTTCAAGGCATAAGATTGGTCATCTTAGGTTCACCATCAAATTACATCAATTAGATAGAATAGAAAAAATCAAAATTAGAGAAAAATTGAAATTACAAGAAGACCAATTGAAGTAGCGAATAAAACCTGACCATAAAGCAAGTACTAGTTTAAAAGCAAATAAAAATTCATTTTCCAACGTTAAACAAGCATGGCATTCATCAAAGTGAAGCATATTCATACTATAAATTATTGTTGGCAGATGAATGAAAGATTATATGTAATTCTCCTCTAAAATTTAGTCCAGGGATTAAGGGCATGTTTGTTTTGTCTTTTTTTTTATTTGTTTTGAATTTACTTTGATTTTTTTTATTTAAAATAAAAATGTATCCTGATATCAACTTGTTTTCTGTTTGCAGAAGCAAGAAAGAGTCCTACAAAAAAAAAGTAGGCTTAAAGCACTTAGCTTACCTTTTTTGACAAAAACGGAAATCCAATAATGGGATGCAATCAGTGCTTTAAATGACATAAATCAGGCAAAATATCCTCTCCCAAGAAAAGGCAATTTCCGTTGCAAAAATTCAAGAATTTCTAAGACATGCCCACCAGGATATCACATCATAATCAAATAAGAAAACATGCTGGATTGCTGACAAACTACATACCTTAACTCGGAGCTCCTTCATAGGATGAGGAGTCATTAAAGCTCTAATATTGGTCATAATAGGCCCCTGAATGTACACAAAAAGTATATGTAAATGAACAGGAAAGGATGACTTTGTAAGCACAAACATTACATGGAATAGTAAGCTACCTGCATACCACAAACGATTATTTGATCCCCTTCATGAAGAGTGCCATTAACAAGCACCACATCTATCGTGGTTCCTAACCCTTCAATCACTTTGACTTCCAAGACAGTACACTATAAAAATAAAATGCATAACCAAAAAAAAAGTATATTAGCAATATAGGACAATAGCACATAACAGGTACAAAAGTAAGTGAATTTGCAAAGAATTGAAAATTAATAAAAAGGCACAAAAACAATAAAGCCTTTGATACAGTGTCTTTCATTTCAATTATAATATTGTATCACCCAGATATACAAGATATAATTGTAGGAATACTAGAAAGTAAGGGTTTGTGCAAACCTGAACTTCATCAACATAAGTAAGCTTATCTTCCATTGTTTTCTGTGCCCATTGCACCAAGAGCAAAAGCAGATCTGGTATACCTTCGCCACTAATAAAACAAGGCATCATATTAGCAAATATGGGTCCACAGGTATGGCAGCCTTGAAATTCACAAATTTCATCAGTTAAGAGTACATAGCATAGCATATACCTCACTGCACTGGTTGGCACAATATTAAATGTCTCTCCCAAATCTCTATTTTTATAGTACAAAGCCGTATTCAGACCTTGTTCCTTAAGCTGGGTTATAATCTACCAGAAAGCAGCGGTTAATTTTTAATCTTCAAGTTATAACTTCAGATAGGAACTCAAATCAGAGCAAGAAACAAATAACTTCTCCACAGACTAACCTGCGTAAGTCTCATGTTGAATTCATTCTTTACATCATTAGACTGTTGGTTCATAGCCTTCCTTATGGGTGCATCAGGACATTTCTTCCAACCATATAATCGATCAACCTTAAGGAGGAGGAAAAACTTAGCTCACCAAAAAAATTATTATCTCCATGAACTGAAGGAGAAATTTTCCAAGCAATTAAACACAACTTACCTTGTTCAATGCAACAATGAACTCTGTATTCCGACTTTTGAGTAGGTTAAGAGATTCAATGGTTTGTGGCTCAAGTCCATGCATAATGTCCACAACAAGAATAGCAATGTCACACAAACTTGAACCTCTAGAACGCAAATTAGAAAATGACTCGTGTCCAGGAGTATCTATAACAAGCAATCCTGGAACTCTCAATGTTGAATCAGCTTTAAGCTCCTTGGTTCTCTCCCTTATATTTTCAGTAGGAAAATAAGTTGCTCCAATCTGTTGGGTAATACCTCCAGCTTCTCCCTCCTGCACATTTGTCCGACGGATGCAATCAAGCAACTTGGTCTTACCAGTATCCACATGACCAAGAATACAACAAATGGGCGAGCGAAGTTCACCGGCCTTTTTGGTCGTATCATGTAAATGGTTTGATTCCTGCTTAACTTCAACATTATTTCTAGTCTTTGCAACACTGTCGGATATTTCACGACCATTCACTTCACCTACCTTCTTTGAAGATGCTTGAGGGACAACTATTTTTTTAGCTGTTGCACCGGATGCTGCACTTTCCGGTGCAACAACAGTATCGGCATTCAACTCTTCCTTATCTTCCTCAGCAAAAGGATTTGTGCCAGGCAATTTGACATCGACATCATCCCAGCTTTTAGCATCCCACTCCTCATCTTCTACATCCTCTTCCATAATTTCAGATTCTTCAGGTTGGTCCTGAACTTCTGTATGTTGAGGTATGGTCTCCTCGACCATATCATCTTCATCAGGTTGAACAGCATCAACTTCAACTACCTCATTTTGAGATTCTGATGCCTTTTCCGAATCTCCAGCCTTTGCCTGAGCAGCCTTTGCTTTCTTTTGGTATATTGGTCTTTTTTTGGTCTCTCGAGTTACGTCAGCAGATATATTATCATTCTGACTTAGAAACTGTCTCCTCATTGCTTCTAACCTCTTTTGTTCTTCCTTTTGCTTGGCTGTCAAGAGTTTTCCCTCCTGTTTCTTCTTCAGAAGCTTCTCCTTCTCCCTTTCCTTTTTCCTTCTCTTTGCCTCCTCAGCAAGCCTCTCTTGCTCTTCCAACCTCTTTCTCTCTTCTTCCTCCTTTCGCAACCTTTCCTCTTCCTCTCTTTTTTTTCTCTCTTCAGCCTCCTTCCTCCGTGCCAATGCCTCCTGCATCTCTCTAACATGCTTTGGCATTTTCTTGTCCGCAGCTTTTCCCTTTGACATATCCTTCTTCTCTTCCTTAGTCTCCTCCTCAACAATGACAGTAGAAGCTGCAGCAGCTGCTGCCTTCTTTTCCTTCTCCTTCTCCTTCTTCTTCTTTTTCTTCTTAGCAGCCGCTGACTCCACCTCCTCTGCTTCTTCCTTCTCATCAACAACAACATCGGTAGAAGTATTAGCTAGTATGGACTCAAGTTTTGCTGATTCTTCGACCAAATGTAAAGATGGAGCAGAAGAAGTTGGAGCAGGTTGTGGACCATCTCCAAGTTCAGCGAGGATCTTTTCCAAGTCCTCCTCCTCCTGGAAAGTTCTCCCACTTTTCTTCTTCTTCTTTTTCTGCTGCTTATTTTTGGATGCATTATCTTCAAAAGCACCATCCTGTCTGCTGGAATCCACATCAGCATCCTTTAGCTCACTCTCTTCAGGATTTACCTCTGGAGCTGTAGGAGGAACAACTGAGCTTGGAGGCTGTGACACTTTCCCAAGCTCAGCAAGAATTTTATCCAAGTCTTCCTCCTCAAGGGCAGTCCTGCCTCCTTTCTTCTTCTTGTTTGTTTGCTGCTTTTTCGTTGAAGAATCATCAAGCCCAGCCTGTCTGCTTGATTTCAGTTCGTCCTCCCCATGGTTATCAGCCTCATTTAATAATTGAAGCTGCTGCTCGGACCTACCTTCTCTTTCTTCCTCTCCAAAAAAGGCATCAATGGCAGTAGAAGAACCATAAATTTTGTTTTTATTGGTTTTAGAAGGCTTCTTCTTACCAGTGAACGTCACAGGAAGCTGCTCAGCTTCTTCTTGATCAATCTGATTATCTTCCTCTTCACCAAGAGCGCTGAAGGCACTGGAAGCCGCAGAAATTTTTTCTGTTTTGGATTTAGAAGGCTTCTTCTTACCTGAGAATGCAATAACAATTGGCGTCTCCTCATACTCATCTACCTGATTGTCTTTCACATCACTAAGGGCATCAAACGAACTGGAAGCTTGAGAAATTTTCTCTTTTTTGGATTTAGAAGGCTTCTTCTTCCCCGAAAAAGCCACGAGCACTGGCTCATCTTCCTCAAGCTCAGCAGGAATTTTATCCAAGTCTTCCTCCTCAAGGGCGGTCCTCCCTCCTTTCTTATTCTTCTTTGTTTGCTGCTTTTTCGTAGAAGAATCATCAAGCCCAGCCTGTCTACTTGAAGCGTGGTTCTCTTTCTCGGACGCCTGCAATTGCTGTTCGTCTCCCGGCAAAGAGTACTCGTCGTCGTCGATCGTCACCGTCTTCTTCCGACCCATCGGTCCTTCAGTCCGCGCGCGAAGCCTGAGTCGCCTCTAGGGGCTGTTTAGCGACAGGATTTATGCAGGATTTGACCAGGATTTATGTTAAATCCTGCCAAACGGTATTTGAGCGCCCCGTAAATCTGACGGCGGAATAAATCCTCCGTTTCCCTCCTCCCGTCGTTGCTTCCGATCAAAATGTCGTAACTTCCGATCCGACACGAAGGGAAAATCGTCGAAGCAGCGAAATCGAACAGCAACGAAGGAGACGAAGCGACTCGTGCAATCTCTACACCTCCTGCAAAGCAACGAACAGATGGAAGCCAAACCCTAGACGCCTCTAAGTTATTATTGATTAACTTAATCAATATAATTTAAAATATTAATAATTAATAGTATAATTAGTGCATAAATAAGTTATCTAGTTTAACTTAATTAAATAATTAGTAATTAAATATTAATATAATTGGCAAGGTTTTTGAAAATTTGACCGAACATGAACTAGAAGAAAGAGATGTTTACAATTCGACGAGCAGAACGGGATGACATAATAAATAATAATATTATTAAAATTCATAAAATAAATTAGAAATTTTCTTCTAATATATTTATTTTATATTCCATTTTAATATCAAACTAATCAAAGAACATAAATATGACATCAATTAAGTTTATAAAACATAAATAAATAACACATAACACTACAAGAAAAACGTGTTACTTTCGACAAAAATCCTCCAAAAAATGCCCAAAATTTGTTTAATAGATGGTAAAACATGCGTCGGAAAATATTACCGTCGTAAAATAATCCGCTAGAAGATTTCCGAAGGAAAAACTCCGCCAATCAATTTTCCAGCAAAATTTCTGCCAGCAAAATCATAAAAAATCATTAAACTTGTACCAAGCCCAACCGAATCGCCTAGCCCTGCTACAAGCCAGATTACCCACTCGCAAGTCCACCCTTACTAGCCAACCCACGCGACCCGACTGCAAGCCCGCTCCGCAACTCAATCCCGGCCTGTTCGCGCTAGCCTGCCCTTTATTGACCTTATTTTTCTATGAGGTCACTTTCAACCCCTTCTTGAGCTTTGGACCTTAGGTTCCTTTGGACTTTAAATCTTAGGATCTTCCTAGTTCCCAGCCCTTAGGCCCAATCCAGATCTTAACTCAATTCAAACCCATAATCCAGGGTTAAAGACTCGGGTCCTAAAATCCTTTCTAGGTGATTTTTCCATCACCTTGAAACCCAATCAATTGGCATCTGATTCAGGGTCTATCAATTCCCTATTTATGTGACATGTCTCTAGTGCCAACCCTCCAAATTTGAATTTAGTTAGAGGACTTTAACACCATAAACTTAGGCTTCGTTTGGGACGGCTTTTTTATTGCTTTTTAAAACGGAGTTTAAGTACAATTTTTTTTTATTTTTGAACTAAAACTCCGTTTTAGAAAGCAATAAAAAGCCGTCCCAAACGAAGCCTTAATCCAGTTTCAAAGATTGCAAAATCTTCAAATATTTACAATCAATGCCAGTGGACCTTTCACCTAGTGGAATTTGATCTTGGAGCCCCCTCCAAACCCATTGATCACTCTCAAGACCTTAATATTGACTTGTTAAGCAATAATCCACATCTTTTTAGAATCAATTTGACCCAGAATTGACTTGAGCCCAAAATTACCAAAATGCCCTTAAAGGGGGATTTTTGAACTTTTGGCCTAAACTCAACTCGATTTGACTTATCAACCTTTGAAATCTTCTCTAAATATTTTCAAATGAATTTTTATACCTTTTAAACTCAATTCCAACTTTGGGTCAACTTGGTTGATCAAGTCAACCCTTTTTGGCCTAAAGGCCCCTTAAGGGTCAAAATGGTCATTTTGACCCAAATGACCCCTCCATACCTTGATACCCCATCCATTAGGTTCATATGACCAAATTGATTTCAATGGACCTAACTTCTAGTCCTATGTCAACTTGGTTGATCAAGTCAACCAAGTTTGACCAAATGACCCATATACCCCTCCTTTCATCTAAATCCTTTAACCAAAACCACTTCAACCCCATTTGAACCCATGGGGTGACTCCTTAGGCTTTCAAGAGATCCCTCTTGGAGACCCAAGGCTTGGGCCCACTTGGGTTAGCCTTTTGGCTTGACCAAAGTGCCCAAAGAGAGGCCCCCTTTGAACCATTTCTCAATCCTAATCAAATTGAACCCAAACCAAGGTGTCATTGGGTCTCCCCTGACCCAATACACCTCCCTTAACCAGTCCAGCCATTGAGTCACCTTGGGTCAAGAGTTAGGCTAATCCAATGTAGCCAAAACCACTTGAGATTGAGCCAACTCCTATCCTGAGCTCAATTGAACCTGACCAACACCTCCATTAGGTGGCCCTAGGTCCAACACACCTCCCCCAGCTGGCCCAAGCCTTGGGTTGACTTGGGTCAACTTTTGGGCTAACTCAAAGTGGCCAAAACCACATGGACCCGAGCCATCTTTGAACTCAAGCCAAATTGAATCCAATTACCACTTGCATTGGGTGGACCAGACCCAGACCCATCTCCCACATCAAGCACAGGGTCTGGCCTGACCTGGGTTGAGCCCAATTCGACCCAAACCAAGCAGGTTTGGGTCAAACCAAGCCACCTGATCGAATTGGACCTCCCTACGCCCAATTGAGCTCACCCTTGAGTCTAGCGTGTCCCCATCACTCTTTCCAAGTCAACCCGACCAAGACCCTGGCTGGCGGCGGCCAGAACTAATGGAGAACAAGCTTTGGTGGTCCCCCCCCCCCCCCACTTCGATCCTAACCCAAAGCCTTCCAAAGGCTGGGCTCGTCGACTTCAAGCTCACGAGCCCTCTGGGACGATGCCCCCCTCTACCTGGGGACCATCCGAGGCCCAGCCCAGTCAATCCCGTTCATCCAAGCTTGCAAGAGGTGGCTGAATAGGGCAGTGTATTCTAGAAGCTGCCATTCGATCACAGGCTTTCGAAATCACTCCCCATAGCTCCTTCATTCCTCCGCTCTCATTTCTCAGCCGCCTAGACCATACTGTCGATTTGTTCAAGAGAACTCCGGCAAAAGCTTTCGGCACCACACTCGAAGTTATACCTTCGGCCATCCTCCGGTCCCGACGTCTGAAGGTGATCTGTTCTCCTTCATCCCCTGAAGCTGCCTGATAGAGAAGCTCATTCGTTGAGGCCTTCTCTACGATAATTTCTCCATCCCGAGCTCCCTATATAAGTAGTACGGTCAAGTGTGAAGGAAATCTTCACCCCAACGGATTTCCACTGTTGGATTGAAGGTTTATAAGCCCCTGATCCTCCATGTGAAATTTCGTCAAAGTTCGTCGGCGGGATAGCTTGGATCATGCCTTCGGGTTCGCCCGGGAGGTTGAAGACATAATCATGGCTGTTGATTTCAATCAACGATTCAGATTAAATCCCGCGGTTCCGAAGGTCGTTTGATCCTGACCATCCGATCGCTCATCCGACGGCTGTGGTTAATCCGACAGCTATCCAGTAAACCGCCAATGATTGCCCTGCCAATCGTGACGCGCCGGCTGACTGGGTAATTAAAAGATTTAATTTCCCAGAAAATCAATGGGAACTTCAAAAATTGATATCTCCATGCGCACTTGACCAAATTAGGTGTTCTTAGGCTCATTGGAAATATCTCATGGAGATCTACAAAAGCCTTATGATTCCATGCTCTAATTGCATCTGTATTAAGTTTAATTTTAGTATTAGTGTTTTATTAATTATTGCATTTATTGCTTAAATTGAATTCACCATAGCTTAAAATTTTGGGAGAATGAATTTGGACATGTCTCTGACATGTCCAAATTTTGTCTCCCCTATTTGAAGTGTCCAAGGGCATTATCATGCCAATTTTGGTTTAAGGGTTATGGTTTGACCCTTAAATCCAAATTGTAACCATGATCTATCCAATGAGGTTTAGGATTTGAATTTGAATGTGGTGATGATGTGCAGCATAAGGAGTCTAGGGCCAATGATTTTACCCCAATCAAACCCTAGGATAGCCCCCTAGGATTCTTCTAAGGTGACTTAGGGATCACCTTAGGTGGCTTGGTTAGCCACCTTAGATAATTCCATTTAGGCTCAAATTTGGTGTGTTTAGGCCCTGAGATCAGGTGATCTCATGGTCCAAATTCATTGGATTTGGTGTCCATGTGGTCCACTAATTAGGAGCCAAAAGATTTTCTCCTTTAGAAATGACCTAAAGTTTAATTAATTCATTAAAAATTCTTGTTAATTACTAAAATTACATAACATACCTCTAATCAACCCTAATTCAACCCTTAATCAGTGAAAATTTAAATCCCTTTAATTTAATATTAAAATCCACCTTAATTTAATTTTAATCAAAATCAATATTTAATCAATTTTTTAATTAATTAAAAATTATTAAAAATCTCAAAAATTGTTTAAACACTTGATGATCTCTCCTCAGATCATTTCTGATCTTTGGAGTTGATTTCAAGAAGTTTAGGACTCACTTGGGTTCAAATCACTAAAAATGACCCTTAATTGAAACAATTAATTAAATCCAATAAATGCCTTAATTTCCAAAATTCATATCTAATTGTAGAAAATTTCAAATCAATCAAACTCAGTGGCTAATGACTCTAATTAAAATCTAGTATTTTTTAAAAATGTCAAAACTCAAAATCCGGTCAAAGTAAAAAAGTCAACAATTTGGTCAACCTTAGGTCAAAATCAGGTCAAAACTTCTAAAAATCATAATTTTTTATAGAAAACTCCGAATTGAGTGTGCCACCAGTCTAACAACTCATGATAAGGTCTAGTATTTATTAAAAATCTGAAACCTCTTAAGTTCCCTTTAATTTAAAAAAATTAACTTTTGACCCCTTAGTTAACATTTATAGATAATTTCCTAAAACCCGTTTATTCTTTCAAACTCCAAACTTTTCATAAGTTGGTTAATAAAATGCTCAATCAATCTTTTAAAATTTTTAATTAATTATTTTTAATCTATTCCTTTAATTACAATCAATTTAAATTAGCTTAATCAACCCTGATTACTACTGGGAACCCAGGACTATGAGGCTATTAACTTAGCCCAAGGAAGGTAAAATAAACTTCATGGCCTTTTATATATATAACCCGGCGGCGGCTCGGTGCGGGCCACATGGCGCGCGCGGATTCGATATGCGGTTTCAGGCAATCATTGCCTGGCGGCGTAATCGCCGCCATGATTGCACCGCCGAAAATGATTTACGCATGATGGCGGCAATTAGAAGCCGCTGACGCGGCGTAACTTAACCACGTAGGCAACGCCGCGTGGCCGTATGATCT